CGGCTCGCCTGGTGCGTTCCAGCCTGGGTTGCAATTTGCATATAGGCAAAAACGCATAAAAATCCAAGTATACAAATGAACTGAATACTTGGATGAGGGTGGTCATTTGCTGCAAAACGCACTTTTTTCTGATTTTTCGGTAAAACTGTGTGTTCCTCACTCCCGCTTGAAGGCGATTTCACCTCTGAAAAAGATTAAGACCGCACTTGAAGGAGAATATCCCAGCAAATTTTCAGCCTCGTAACTTATGCGGTAAGCGAAATATCCACTTCGCTAAAAATATCTTTGGAGTGCCCTAAGTCGTGGCAGAAGTGCAAATCGGTAATTCTTTTCGGTATACTATTTCCCATATGGGCGATAAACGTGCTGACAGAATTTTAGCCGCTATTTTCCGATAAGTTTTCGAGTTAGCACACTACAATGTTGCAAACTTTGAGATGATAGTACGCACAGCACAAGCGTGCGCGGCAGTTGAATTTGAAATTTTTAGCTTGCACATACACATAGAATATCTCTGCAAAATTTTAGCTATGAGTCTTGACTGGTTCGCGAAATTGTTTCCCGCCAAAGAAATTTGCATATTTTCTTTGGGGGGTCCGTACGCTGGTCTAGGCGCGTGTGGGGCAAGATCTTAAAACAGGAGGATAACACACGGGGTTGGACCATATATTCAAAATTTCAGCCTCCAACTTTCCTGATTGCTGAGATGAAAGTGAGTGACAAAGTTCACTCGCTTCTGAACAGACACACATACGACCTCCCGACAATATGCATTTTTGCTGGCTGTAGGGGCGCTATAGTGCTGCCATAGAGCTGCACAGCAAAAATGCATAGACTGTAAAAGAAAATCCACTTTAGTCTTTTTGATTTTTGAAGATGCTTTGTCAAGACCGTTGCCACTACAGTCAGTACGATGATCTGTGAACAACTTATTTTTGAAATACGTTCAGTGCAAATGCGAGAATGCAGCGCAGCATTGATTTAAGTGATGGAATACAGCGCCCTGATAATTCGACTGTTACTGAATGAGAAACTAACTTGCTTTTTAGGCAAACTCGTTTAAGTGCCTTAAGTGTTTTCGTAATGCAAGCAGTTTTTTGATTCAGGAGAATGTTGTTATCGCACGTTGCTCTGTTATGGATGCTTCACATTGGTGCAGTGCAGAGTCAGCTGTTTCCCTTCCAGGACCTTTTCAAGCCATTTGTTAACATCCCCAATTTGTTCAACCGACAGCAGCCAAAAACCACAGAAGACCTGATCGCTGAATCGCGCTTAAAAAAGTGCTGTAATCATCTGCAACAAGCGGATGCGCAGTGCAAAGCGCAGTACTGCAGCTTCGATGCTCTTAGTGCCGATAAGGTCCATATGTTTATCATTTTGCCGCTTATCGTGTCTATGCCTAGACTAGTGTTTTGAGTTTTATCCCAAAGTTAATTTATTACGTAACATTATAAAACAAACGAGGGAGATACTGAAATACAAAAGTGTAAAAAGATAAGGAAAGGAGGGTAAACTCTACGCTGTCGTAGCTTCCAGAACGAAAAGGAGCATTTGGTGACGTTGTGTCACAAATAGGAAGAGCTAATGGTAGAAGAATCACAACAATGGAAAGGTTTTTTTACACATAGGAATGACTAAAGGTAGTAACAGTTAAATCACATTAACTGAATTAAATTGATCAAAGATTGGTATGCTTATTAGCAACTTTTGAAATCAGAGGAAAAAGTAACTAATTACTGACTACACATGTAATTTGTAAAGTAGTAGAAAAAACAATTATTTAGGTAACATACAGCAGTCACAGTCAGTCTGTCAAGTGTTCACAAAGCAATAGCGCAGTCCCTCGTATGTATGTATATGCTTGGCTGTTTTCAGCTTCTTTCATATTAGCAACGCTGAAGAACATTAGTTTAGTGAAGACCTGATCCAGGATGGCCCTTGCATTTCAACCTTCTCTTTCTTCGTTTCTGTAAAGCACCATAAATATTTGAAGAACTGAATTCACCATCTCATCTAATTATAAATGGCAGTTTAACATTTTGACTGGTTAAGGAAGCGCAGACACTGTCATCCGTTGACATTTCGAACAGCCGTCTGTGTTCAACGTCTGTCAGCTCATAGTTAAAAGCGGTTTTACGCCCACGGTTGCTTGAAAAGGAGGATGACAAATTAATTATACGTACCCTCTAAGCAGAACGACTTTTGGTCCATCACCTTACAAATCAGTGCAGAAACACGACTCTCGATTTGTCTGTCATTCTTAGAAACTCATTTTTGTGTGTTTTACAGGTACAAATGCGTTCGAGTAAGTTTTTACGGATAGATATGGTAGCCAGTGTAACTATATCCCAGAACTACAGGTGATAAAAAGCCAGGTTTTTGAAAAAGTAATCCTCGACGATGTTCGAGGTAGCTCACTCTCTCTGTGATGACTTACAAGCTCCGAATCTAAATTCAGGTCCTCCGTTATCTGGATAATTAAGGAAGCCGAAAATGATTTTTTTACCGAGAATGAATTTGAGGCGGATAGCGTGAAATTGTATCAAAAATCTTACTGTACACAGCCCCATACAGATGTAACAATAAATTTAGAAGTTTTGGGTTTTTAGTTAACTTAAAATGAGGAACTAAATTGTATGAGAATGACTTATAAACTTCACCTTTCTTTTATCTGTCTCTTTACTGACTCTTTATTGTTCCTCTTATGTCGTGTTACAAATTTAGAACGGAGTCTTAAACCAAAATTTTGCCCCTCATAATTGGATTGATTTAAAGCAAATTACGACTAGAATGTATGAATTAGCGCCCTCATCAGTGCGCACCTGCAGCACCTTAACGCAAAAACAAATTGCTGCTTCTGCTCTTAGCAACATGCTGCTGTTTACTTCAGCAGATTTTCACTCCGATTTCAGAATTCTTTGAAAGTTTTCGCAGCATCTGTTCCTGCCAGCAGCAGAGGGTCCTTGCCAAAATAAAGTGCTCAATTATAAATATCTCAATTTTTTTTAAGGCATTGCTGTTCATGACAACGTGTGGACCGCGAGGGCCAACAGTCGGTCAGATGTGGGACTGCGCATCATCGAGGAAGGACCATTCCAAGTGCTGTCGAATGGTCGGTGTTGGGCCGGAATGCATGGCATACTGCCAGACGACCAATGGAGTGCCCAGTGATCCAGCTATTTATATGAACTGCTTGAAGTATTTTGATGCTGTGAAATTATGCTTTAAACAGTATTTAAGCAAAAATCCGAATCTATACGGAGATCTGTAATGAAAATTTGAATTTGAAATTTTGTTCTAACTCAGCCACATAAGAATGAAGGGGAATGGTACAGCAGAAGGGGGAATCCGATGAGCAATGAAAGCAAGTGACAGGGATAGCAGCTGCATCATGTTTATGCGTTTTTGCTGTGCAGCGCTATAGCAGCGCTATAGCGCTGCTACAGCCAGCAAAAACGC